TGTCTGCTTGGGTTTTGGTTGCTCTTACCCTGTGTTCCTGGATTAAGTGTCTGTCCTGAATCTGAGCCTCCAACATGGCTTGTGTGGCTCACTCATGAGGACACTCAGTGTTAGGTATGGAAGTTGTTTTCCCTTTAGCTTGTCTGAATCCCATAATGACACCTAAAACCATCTTAAATCCTGTACGTCATTACGCAGTACAAAAACGTGTTTTCGGTCTTTCTTAGTGGTATTAGAAAACTTCCTTTAAAACAAGTCAGCTATCAAAAGTGGGTTGATTTTTGTTGTTGTTGTTGCTGTTTGTTTGTTTTTATAGGAGCTGGAAAAATGGCCCAGCAGTTAAGAGCACTAGTTGCTCTTGTAGAGGACCTGGGTTCAGTTGCCACCACCCACATGGCCGCTACCAACTGTCCAGGAGATCCAGCGCCCTCTTCTGGCTTCCATGGGTGTTGTACACACAGGTGCATTTACATGCATGCGAAACACCCAGACACATAAAATAAAAATGTTTTTAAATTTTTTTAAAGATTTAAGTGTATGCCATGTGAGTGGAGTTGCACATGGAGGCCAGAGGAGAACACCAGAGCTCCTGGAGCTGGGGTTATGGGTGGTTTTAAACTGCCTGACATGGGTACGGGGAGCGGAGCTCAGGTCCTCTAAAAGAACAGCAAGCATTTTTAGCTTCTGAGCCCATCGCTCCAGCTCAAATGGGCTGATTTAATGAGCAGCTAATATTAAATCATATCTATGGAGTGGGGTGTTTCTTGTTTGGTATGGTGGGGTTTTGTTTTGTTTTTTGAGACAGTGTCTCACCCTGTAACCCTGACTGGCCTGGAACTCACTATGTAGACCAGGCTGGCCAAGAACTCATGTTCACCTGCATCTGCCTCTTTAGTGTTGGAATTAAAGGCCTGGGCCACCACATGGGAGGGCCTGTTTGTTTGGGAGATAGGGTCTCAGTAGGTAGCCCAGGTTGGCCTTGAACTTAGAACCCTTCTTTAGCCTCTCAATTGCTGGGATTTCAGGCATATATACCATACCCACCCTTTTTTTAAAAAAACCCTTATATTCTTTCTTTGTATGAAGGAACACATTCTATTTTTGAAACCAGACAAAGCTGGGTTCAGATCTATTAGTTACTAACCATGGAACCTTAGATTGGTACCATCTCTCTTCTTATGTTTTCTCATCCATAAAAAAAAAAGGCTGGGGCTGGAGAGATGGCTCAGCGGTTAAGAACACTGGTTGTTCTTGCAGGAGACCTGGGTTCGAATCCCAGCACCCACATGACAGCTAACAACTGTCTGTAACTCCAGTCCCAGGGGGATCCAATCCTGCCTGGTGTTTTGCAGTCTTGAGTGATGTCAGATGGAGTCCGGACCCGAGTCAGATGAATGGACCTCTGTCTCTCTCCAGGTTGTCATGCCCTTCTTCCTCGTTCCTGGCTAGGGACCACAGCTTGGGAGCACATCCAGTCTTCCAGCCTGGGCTGATCACAAGATCCTCCTCATGCCCCATCTGCCATCCACTGCATCACATGCTGACTTGGTCTCCCACGTGACTTGGTGGGCCAGACCACAGACCCGGTTATGGTGGGTGACACTGAGGCTTTAGGTGACCTGTGTTGCCAGACTCATTGAATGGTCTCCAAACTCTTTGAGGTGCTCAACAGCAAGGGCCTGGGGCACAGAGAGTGGGGAAAGACCACTCACCACGTCATTGTGGCACAGACAGTGTGACCAGGAAAATGCCCTTGATCCTCAGCACAGCCCTGTGACCCTCCAACTCAGTTTTCTACACTTTGTCACTGGCCCAGCACACTCCAGCCTGCTCGCTCTCCGAGTGGTGAGGCAGCAGGGCTTCCCAGTGGTGGCTGGCCCCTGGGCTCCCTCAAGTCTCTAGTGGGTCATACAGCGTTTCAGGGACAGTTCTTGAATGTAAGGAAGTTACTAGCTCTCCTAGCTTTGTGTGCAATCTGTCTGTCTGTCTTGGATACTGGATCTTTACAAGTGACCTGAGCTTCTTATCTCTCTCATGGGAACCCAGAGTCTTGTTCCTAAAAGCTGGTGCTCAGCAGCGTCCACTCTGGTGACCTCGGGCCAGGGTCGGTAGATGTGACACTGGCACTCACTCGCTCGCTCGCTCTTCAGAGTTGGAGACAGAGTACCCTACCCTGCAAGCCTGCCCCACTCTTACCTAGAGTGGCAGGACACAGGCCTCCTGGGGCCTGAACTGCCACCACACAGTCCCTGCTGCCTGCTATGCTGATTGGCTTATTCCTGAAACACCCCGCACAGGTGCTGGCACAGGAGTCTAGTCCCTGGATCCCCTTTGGAAGCCACAGGGCAGCAGGCGTGCCCTAGATACAAGTGGCAGGAAGGCACAGTAGCCTGTCTGCCATCTCCAGGCAGGGTTCTCATCCCCTCTGGGCAGGGTTGGCCCCCAGGAGGAGGTCTCTGCTGCCCCTCCAGGAAACCTTGCCTTGAGGGCAGCACAGTCTCCCCTCCGACAGTGTCCCAGCCAGTTGAGTCCAGGCTTGGAGGCAAATTTCATTGGTTTGGCTCCCTTGAGAGCAGGTGCTGGGGTGCTAAGCCCACGGTGGTCTTGTAGCCCCGTAGAGTGATTCCCAGAAACCAGGCCTACTCCCCAGTCAACATGTTTCTCGGGAAAAAGGAGGAGGCCAGATGTTATACAGAGGCTGGGAAGGGATCCCTGAGACAGGTCTTGTTGTTTAACCTGGAGGAAATTTGATGAAATCAGCTACTCCACAGACTTCAGGCAGATGTGGAGGATCAATCATCTTAGGCCCAATCGGAATCTGTGAGGGAGGTCCGGGCAGTGTTCGTGCCCTCGTCCCCCCTGGCCCTGGCTCTCCCTCTCAGGCTCCTGATTCCTGCCCCTGTCACACACAGTCCCAGGAGGCCTTCTGTACCCGACACACCCGCCTTTGGTGCCTTTTCTGGGTTGGGTTAATTGTTCCTCAAGGCAGGGTGTTGGCAGATAGGCCACCACATGCAAATTCATGACTGGGAGCTGCAGAGCGGGCAGGGACGGGCCACCTGAGGTTGCCAGCAGGCTCTGTCAGCCGTTCCCTTTGTGCATGGCATGCTCCCCGACCTCCTAAACCCTGGGGCCCTGTCTCTGAGGGAGTCAGCCTTCACACACAAAAAGAAAACTCACAAATTAGGAATGAGACCCAAGCCAGCCTTTGACCTGCCTTCTGGTCTTTCTGAACCCATGGAGGGAGACCTCCCTGGAAGGCTGGGGTAGTGCTGCTACCCCTGTCCAGTTTCTTGAGACTGACCAAAGGGGCGAGCAGACACAGGCTGCCCCAGAGACATGACAGCTGGAGACTGAGAAGTTTGGGTGTGTACCTTTGCTTGGCCAGGCTAGCTGGATGTTCCCAAGGTGCCCACCCAGCCAGCCTATCGGTGTTCAGATGAGAAATCACAAACAGAGTGCGATTCCCCATCAACCTGCTGTGTGACATCAGGCCACATCAGCCTCTTGGCTCCACAAAGATTATTGGAGACACCTACAGATACATGAAAGCTATCGTCTGTGTACAGTAGAACTAACTTCTTGTTTCCGACCTTTGAGCCTGCTCGGCACAGCAGGAATGCTAGGCAGGAGCTGGACTCCAGTGGTGACGAGGAAAGTAAGGGATGGAGATGTTCCTGTTAATACTGATCAGATATTATACATGAATGTGGATGGATGGATGGATGGATGGATGGATGGATGGATGGATGGATGGATGGATGGATGGATGGATGGATGGATGGATGGATGGATGGATGGATGGATGGATGGATGGATGGATGGATGGATGGATGAGGGATCAAGTCTAGTGAATGCCTGGACACAAGTTTCTAGGCCCCTGGAACAGCATGTGTAGAGGTCCTGTTGTGGGAAGGGCTTGGTCCTTCTGAACTTCGAGGGGACTCAGGAGTCAGGTAGAGGTATGGAGGGACCTGTGGGAAACTGATTCAAGGGAGCAGGGGCAGGTGGAAGAGGGCAGGGAGGTGGTGTCAGTACACTGAGAGCTGTAAGTGGGGCGGGGAGGCCTGGTAGCATGTGGCTGCTGATTGAGGGGTAGGACTGCATGATGCAGGCAGCCTGGCGGGCAGGAGCCAATTACTGTAATTGAGCTGAGTTGACGGTAGTGTGCGGGTGCTGAGAAGGGTCAGGTGGAGGTTATTCTCTGACAGTGAAGTGTGTGTGCATGCGTGTGTATGTGTGTGTGTGTGTGCAGGCGTGCTTGCATGCACTCACCCACTGAAGGAGGTATGAAACCCTTAGACCCAGGAAACTCTAGCTCTATACCCAGGATAGGTGGGTATCAACCATCCTTCCCCCTAATAGGAGCCAGACCTTGTCCCACCTGAGCCTTGAAGGGCCCAGAGTACAACAGACAGTTCAAGGGCACGGTGTGGACTAAGGATGAGAGGGCCTAGGGCATTGGTTGGCTCAGTTGGTCTACTGGGGGCCAGTGCCCAGGAGTCATGCTAGAACTTGCAGAACTCTCAGGGAACTGGGTGGGGCCAAGAAGGAGATGTAGCGATAGCTGTCCGCTTCCTGGAAGCCCAGGTGAGCACTGGCTGTTCCAGGGGCGCTGAATGAAAGCTGCAGTGCAACTGCTGATCTGGGCTGGGCAAGCCTGAGAAGCAGCAGGTCTGAGTGTGGCCCCGACGGGTGTGTGGTAGAGGGAGGCAGGTGGAAGCCTGGAGGTGCAGGTGAGGCCAGACCATGCGGGCACAGTATGCCTGGTTGGAAAACCAACTTGGCTTCCTCAGAGAGAGGAAGCAGTCCCCAGAGACTGGGGGGAGAGCAGTGATATGACCCGGAAAGACCGGAGAAAATCAGGGGGGCCACAAGACAAGGCAGAATTAGGAAGCCCACAGTGCTGGCTATGAGGCTGAGCTCTGAAGAGGAAGATGTGACCAGCCAGGTGGGCAGCAGAGAGCCTGGGCTCCTGAGTGACCTCTCCTTGTCTGCAGGGCCACCTCGCCCCTTGCCAGCTTCAGAGCTGTCACAGGCCTCCCAGGATCAGTTGCTGCTCCAAGGTAAGCGATTGTAAGGGCTGGTGTACACGCCAGTCGGCACAGTTGCAGGGTGAGGCCAGGGCAGTGAGAAGCCTGCGTAGAGGGGGCAAGTACATTCAGGATGATGGCATGGGAGGGAGGACGCCACCTGGGGCTATGGTACAGTGCAGGGCAACTTGGTGCTAGAGGCTGGTGTTCTCTCTGTTCATGGGGGCTTCACTCTCCAGTGTTCCTGGACTATATCTGGAGGAGGGAGGAGGGAGCCTCCAGCAGGTCAGGAAGGGCTTGCTGATCTCTTTCTTTGCTGACAGAAAAAGTCCCCAAGGGATGGGGTGATCAGTGTCCCCAGTTACACTCAATGTACTATCAACAGTGCCAGGACCCTGCCAAGGACAGCTGTCACTTGAGAGAAAAACTGTCATTCTTGGGATTTTTAAAGACATTGAAGACACAAGACAAAGTTCCCCTACCCTGTGGAAGGGAGACTGTGTGTGAGCAAGTACATTGACACCTAGTGTGACTACAAGGTGTCTGTGGGTACTGTTGGTCAGACTTTGGATCATGACTTCTCCCATGTGGTAGAGGGACCACAGGTGGTGACTTAACCTGTCCCTTGAATGTGGCCTCTAGGGGTGTCATTGTATGTCTCTATTCTGCTGGTCTGTAACTGCTGACACCATGCTCTCGTTCCGCTGGCTCTGGGCACTAGTCTCGCCACAGTAGACATCAGTGATGATTATTCTTAGAATGCTGTCCACTCCGGAGGCTTGGATTCCACCTCAGGTCCCAAAGTCACGGGAAGAACCTGGGCCGCTCCAGGTTGCTCTCTAATATTTTCCACTGAGTATTTTCCACTTAGTCTTTCTGGTGATTAGGGGGAATCTGTCCTCGGCCTAGCAAAAGCAACACGCTGGCGTCCACCACTGGTCTGCTCTAATAGAACTGCCCACCCAGACATCTCCTGGCGCCTATGGATGATTTGGCCCTCTGCTTAAAACTTTCGTAGAAGTGGAGCCACCCAGCCTGTCCCTCGCTGTTACTTTTTGCCGGCAGGTCTTTCAGCTTTTCTTAAGTTGTGGTAACAATTACCAGAGGAAATAGTGTCTTTCTCAACCACATTTCACAGCTATGAGCTACAAAATGGCCTCTAAGAGTCCCCAGGGAACGAGGTAGCTGACCAGACAGCCCAGGTCCCTACTCCTCCCTCCTTTCTTTGCAGCCCACTTGGCTTCCAGGACCAGCCCCTATTCTAGCTCCTGTGGCCCAGCAGGTGCCCAACACATCCGGGTGGTGGGTGTGGGAGCCCAGGTAAGGTTCAGCTTACAGCTTTCTAACGTGGGGAGGTGCCTTGGACCTTGGCAATAATGCCCTTATTGTGCCCATTTGGACTTCTTTTTTTTTTTTGGTCTTTTTGAGACAGTTGTCTCCTTGTAGCCCCAGCTGTCCTGGAACTCACTATGTAGACCAGGCTGGCCTTGAACTCACAGAGATCTGCCTGCCTCTGCCTCCCGAGTGCTGGGATTAAAGGCGTATGCCACCATGCCCAGCCCTTTGGTTCTTTTTTTTAAAAAAATATTTTTTGTGTGTGTATTCATGTATTGCCTACGTATGTAAGTGCACCCATGTCATGCAGTGACTGCAGAGGTCAGAAGAGGGCGTCAGATCCCCTGGAACTGGAGTTAAGGATAGTTGTTGGCCACCATGTGGATGCTGGGAACTGAATCCAGGTCCTCTGCAAGAGCAGCCAGTGCTCTTAACCACGGAGCCGTTTCTCCAGCCCCTAGACTTTGGTTCTTTAACCTGATACAGAATCATTCCTCGTGGCTGAGAGTGAGTCAGCTCATGGAGACCTGCCTCAAAGGAGGTGGGACGGCAGAGGTGACCCCTCATTTCTATTGGCGGGACACACTGGACGCAAGAGGAGAGTGTAGGTACAAGCAGTGAGCACCTGTGTCCATAGAGCAGATCATGATCCAGAGTCATCCTGTTCCCCCCCACCCCCCGTTTAGAGCAGCTCTGCACTATACCCGCCCCTGCAGGACAAACCTGGCCTGCCCTCAGCTGTCACAGCCAGTGGACATCTCCTGACCTCACCTTCCCTCCCCCGCCCCCCCCCAGGCAATCAACTTTCTGAGTGTCAGGAGACTTGTCATTGTACAGTTGGAAGCCCCCCAGGCAAGCTCAGGTTGTGGGTCCAGCCTATCCTAAAGAAACCTCTCCCCCACTGTGCGGGTCGTACAGTGCCAACATCTTTTCTTCAGCATGGGGCACCGTGGGGCTGGGGTAGGGAGTCACTGGCGTTCTGGAGGCCTGCACAGGGCACCTTGATTAGTGGGACTCAGCCTCGGTGCTGCCTGGCTGTGGAAGACTCACCTCTGAGGAGCGGCCTGGCCTCTGTGTCCAGCTGTGCATGCTGCCCAGTGCAGACAGATCCACCCAGTTGCAAAGCCATTATGCCCTACACCCCAGCTGGATGGTGAAGATAGAAGGGTCTCCTTCTGGGGGTCTGTGCTGCCATCCTGAGGGGGTCCAGTTGTCTCCCCATGTCCAGTTTTCTGAAGAGAATCTGGTCCAGGTTTAGGAGGTAGGACCATTATCTGCAGGGGAGACCAGGGACACTGTGAGCTCACTGAGCCTGGGGGAGTGACCAGCCTACGGTGGCCACAGATTGTGACACTTCGTGGTATGTGGGGCAGAGACTTGAGCACTGGTTACTGTCTGTCCCATAGCTGCTGGCTCCAGATGGACCTGGGAACCCTGAAGTGCATGGCAGGCAGACGGGATGGGTGCTGGGCCCAAGGACAGTCCTTTAAGCTCAGTGGCCCCAGGTGCACAGTTCCCAGGCCACTGTGCTCTGCTCCTACAGCTCCCACATGGCTCTGGCAGCTCCAGCCACTGACCCAAACTCCACAGCCTAGGCTACATCAGCAAGAAGCACATACACAAGGTGCCAGCCTCCAGCTTCCAGGGAGGACCCTGTTCCTGGCTTTACTGTGTTTGCCTGGGACAGTAAGGGAGGAAACTCTCTGTTGGCTCAAGTGAAAGTACCGTCTGTCATAAGGACTTCCAGCCTCCTCCAGCTTCATTGTTCCAAAGGCCATCTTAATGCTGCATTTGGGGCCTTACTGTGTGAACCTGGGAAATACAGTCCAGTATATGCCTTCTTTAGAGAACTTTGAGGTGCAGGGTATGGGTTTCTGGGGTCTTGAGAAGGGCAGGAAGCCTCTCTCAGACCTCTGTCCACTGATCACTGGAGCCATGACTCTGTTCTTCACTGAATAACAGCGGTGACCAGTGTTCATTGAGACTCTAATGTGGTCTCGGCCACCCACATGGATTTTGCATAAATCGGGTCCAGTCAGTGCAGTTTTAACCCCTGGTGACAGACAGGAGCACCAGGGCTGATAGGACCCAGCCCTGTGTACAGATCACCCTCAGCAGCAGCAGGAGGTGGGTGCAAACCCGGGTGGGTCACTGCATGGGGCTCTGAGCCTGGGATGCAGAGCCTGGGGCTGGTGAACACGGACAGCCACCTCCTACAGGGAGTGTGTGAAGACCTCATACCTGGGCCAGAAGCCACATTTCCTGCTGTGTTCTGGATGTGGCTGTGGGGGCAGAAGGAACTCAAACCGTTGTTTTTCTCTTTTTTCAAAACTTTATTTTTATTTTATATGTATGAGTACTATGCTTGCATGTATGTAAGTGCGCCTGTGTCCTGCAGTGCCCTACAGAAGAGGATGTCGGATCCCTGGAACTGGAGCTACAGGTGGCCGTTAGCTGTCATGTAGGTGCTGGGATTTGAGCCTCTGCAAGAACAGCCCCATAACCACTGAGCGATCTCTCCAGGAACTCAAACCACGTTATAAAAGCAGTTATTCGGCAATGAAATTTGCCTGTCGTCCCCCTTGCCCCCCACTGCTGTGGGCTGGCTCTGACCAGCCAGTGCTGTCAGTTTCTGGTAGAGAGCCTGCAAAATTCACATACTGTTGTCTGCTCCCAGCTGTTACTACTTCCTATCCATGGGTCCAGGATAGGATCTGCTCTAAGCCTGTCACCTCATTTGTATCTGAACCCCCCCACACACACACAGTGCTTATGCCTGTCTGCCTCTGTCCCCCAAGAGAGCAGCAGGTCTATGATGTCTCTTTGGGGTTCAGTGGGGGCTGTAGGAACATGTAAACAGGGAACATCCCTCTCAGCCATTGCTACAGGCCTCAAAGTAAGCTGTGCCACTAGCTCACTGCCGCGGTGCCGGGTCCTCACAGGGGACCCACCGCCCTGGACAGACAGGCTGTTTCTCTTCCTGGGCCTTGGAAGAAGCAGATTACTGTGCAATCCATGCTATCTGTCTCTGACTGCCATAAATGGCTAGCCAGGTGCCGGGACACATTTCACAGACCCCATTGTCCCCAGGAAGGACAGCTCTGCGTGCCCAGTGGGCCAAGGAGATGGTACAAAGTGGGCACAGAATCCAGGCAGCACGTGGCTCCCAGGAGAAATTAAATGGGCCTCTCTTCCCTGGAATGGTCTGGGAGCAAGGATGCCCTCTTCCTGTAAGGTTACCTGCAAAACCAAAGGGAAATTATTTTTTCTCTCGCTTCAGGAATAGTTCACTGCCAAGTTGACGTCATCGTGCAGTGTGATTGGATGAGGCAGAAACGTCTGTCCCTGCTGGAATCGGTGGAGGAGGAGACATGAGACCCTAACGTCTTACCCACCCAGGGGGTTCAAGATGGCAGCCCAGCGCATCCGGGCTGCCAACTCCAGCGGCCTCCCTCGGTGCAAGTCCGAGGGGACTCTGATTGAGCTGAGCGAGGGATTTTCAGAGACAAGCTTTAATGATGTCAAAGGTGAGATCCTAGCCAACCCCTGGCTGAGGGGACACTAGGATAGCGTTAGCTTTAATGATGTCAAAGGTGAGATCCTAGCCAACCCCTGGCTGAGGGGACACTAGGATAGCGTTAGCTTTAATGATGTCAAAGGTGAGATCCCTAGCCAGCCCCTGGCTGAGGGGACGCTAGGATAGCGTTAGCTTTAATGATGTCAAAGGTGAGATCCTAGCCAGCCCCTGGCTGAGGGGACACTAGGATAGCCTTAGCTCTGTTTTCTGTTCACTGAATTACAGCTCAGTAAACCTGTGTTATCCATTCACTCCTGGAACAGTGACACTTACTTCATTCTGGGGAGTAGTATAGGGAAGAGGTGTGTGTGTGTGTGTGTGTACATGTGTGCACATGGATGTATGTGCGTGTATACTTGGATACCAAATAGCAATGTCCAGTGTCGTCGCTCAGTTACCATCCGCTTTTTCTGAAGCAGGCCTTGTTACTGAACCAAGTAGAGCAGGCTGTCTGGTCAGTAAGATCCAAGGATCCATCTGCTGGTTCTCCCCGTCCCAGTGCTGGGACCACAAATGTGCTCCCTTCCACCCAACCTTTCTGTGTGGGTGTTGGGGATCGAACTCCCCAAAGCAAGCACTTTACCAGCTGAGACATCTCCCTAGTCCCAGAAGGAGTTTTTAAATGCACCCTTGGCAATGAAACCCCTCTTTCAATGCTGAATATGTCTGTTTTTTCTTCAGAAGTTTTAGTGATATAGAGAACGTGCAGCACAGAAGTCTAGGGGGAGACTGTGAAAAGGAGATGAACTACCGGTGTCCACCAGGAAGGAAAACGTGATCTAGGACTAGAACGGGTCTGACAGTGTTCTAAGCCCTTCTCTGGTCACATAGTCTCTGCCCCAGCAGCACAGCACAACTAATAAGCAGACAGGGTCGTGTCCCAGCGTTATAAAAGGGGCCAGCCAGCCTCGTGGCTCCTGCTGACCCCATGTAGAAGGCGGTCTGGGGTTTAAGCACCCCAGCCTCACAAAACTGGGCTGAGTATACCTATCTTTCACGCACACATGTGAATCCCAGGGTGTCATTTGATTCGAGTCTACCCTGACCTCACTGCGCCACATCTAGTGTCTGGTGCCTTGGGGTGCATCCTGGTCCCCTCTGTGATCATCACCTCCCAGCTTGCTGTCACTCCCCAGCACAAGCACTTGGAACTTTCCTTTGTTCCTTCACCCTTGACAAACTCAATGCTGAGTAGTCCTGGAGTGGAGCCACAGCCCCTGTGTGCAGCCATCTCATTGGTTAGCTGCTCCCTCTCCTGCTCTTCATCCGCACCTTCCTCTTCCTGCCCTGGTTTATGCCTCCAGCCCTGAACATTGCTGTAAGTGTTCTTTGAAAGACTACCAAAGGGAACCTGGAGGCGTGATAGCAATAGTCAGTGGGTGTCGCTATAAATAATAGAACGTTTACTTTTTAGTCGGGTAATGGGCGTTGTGTTCTTATTTCTGGCTTTGAGATGAAAAGCTACAAAGGTGAGCACGACCTATGTGGTTTGCACCAGGCTGTCAAATCGGGCCAGAGAGCTGAGTGTTTAAAAATAACAGTAATGGTCCAGAAGCAAATGGCCTTGAGGGGGTGTGCAGAGGCTGGTTTGCTGAGGGGAGAGTGGCCAGGAATCCAAGGAGGGCTCAGTGTGCAGCTGCTCCCTGGGCCATGATGCTGAGGTCTGTCCCAACCTACAGCATCACATTCATCTTCCTGGTGCGTGGCTCGAACGACCAAGCAGACTCCAGCCCCAGTACCTGCTGCGAGGTCTTCTAGCCTGATTAGTGTTTCGCCTGCATAGAAACTTAGACCAGGATATAGAAAATGTTTTATTCAGTACCCCGAACTTGCAAATACCCAGGGAGTTTTTGTATTACAATCAAGGTAGTGTTCCCCCAAACTCATTAAGATGGAATTCAGTAAGGATTTGCTGGCATTTGGTGGGATAGAAGCCCAGCCCCCTCCCCATGTCCCCAGTGCTTCCTGACAGCAGTTGATACAGGCTGTTGTCCAGAAAGGAGTTGACACCACAGTCCACCCTGGTGCTTTCCCTGAGGGCAGGAGGCCCAGTGCCCTTTGGAGGAGCCGTATCTTTTACTGTAATATATTATCCCCTCTCCTCTGAGGGGAGTGCTCGGAATTTTAAGCAAAACCATTCATATTCTTAATCTGGTAAAGCTAAAATGATAATTTCAATTGATATATTTTGGGCTGTGCACAGAGCATGCTTAATTGCTTTGGTTCTTTTTAATTTTTGAAAATATTACTGTAAAGGAATTAATTATTCTGGAGGAACACAATAGAATGTAGCTTTGGAGGGATTCTGACAAGGTTTTACTGGCTGACAACCTCTATTTAATTTTCAGTTGGAATTTTATTTCTGGTATACGCATAAGAGAAACAAAGGCGTTATTTCACCAGAGGCCACAACTTGCCACAGAAGTAGGAGAGAAGGGCTGCTGTGACCCCTGACCCAGCGCAAGCTTTTCTTGTCCTTCCTTTCCTCCAAAGTCATTCTTCAGGCTCAGGAAACAATACAAGACAAAGACCTCCAAAGCACAGCCTCTGACCCACCCCCCCATTCCCACCCCACCCCCGCCCCTCTGTGCGATACACTGAGGAGAATGGAATTCCTCAGATGGTCAGAGAAGCTAGGGCCCTTCCCCTGCGCCAACAGGAATTCCTACAAACTCCACCTAACCCTCCCAGGTTTCTGCTAACAGTCCGTAGGGAAATTAAGATCTTCAGTCCTGAGGAGCTCTGCCCCGCACTCCAGCCAGAGGCAAAGAAAGACTGGAAGCCGACAGGCCCTTCCCCAGTGGCTGCTCTGCCTGGTCCTCCATGAACAGGAACCAAAGCATAGTGATTGGTTCCCTGGGGCTGTGCTCTTCAACCTGAAGGCTCCAGGGTGACTGCGTTGGACTGAGCTTCCCCTTCATCTGCCCTTTTACCTGTTCCTTTCAGGTAGCACACCTTCCCAGAGGACGCTGACTGTCCCTGCAGGGTCCCCTTTTACTGCTGTGTTTGTTCATTCCCATCCTTTCAGTGATACAGATTGGTGTGATGGCTAATATTGTCACTGGGAGGCAAACCTAGACAGTGAAGGAATTTCTAGATTGGGTTCGTTGAGACGTGAAGAGCCAATGTCAACGTGGACAGCACGATCATCTTGCCTGGAGTGCCTGGCCAAGTCAAAGGGACAAGGGGGGCCAGCTGAGCAGCAAGCATTCACCTTTCAGCTTCCTACTATGAACACAGCGTGACCAGTTGCCTCCCTCCTGCCACCATGACTTCCCCACCATGGGGTCCACTCCCCCAGGCCCTGAACCCACAGAAGCCCTTCCCTCTGTCAGTTGTCTTGTTGGCTACTTTGTCAGAGCTACGTGAAAAGGAGCTAATGCACTCTGTCTGTTGAGACTTGATGGCAGAAGGCACGGGCACGGGGGTTCTGGCTTCTTCCTCAGCCAGCACCACAGTTCAGTGCCATGGATCTGGCTTAGCATGCTGTTGAAAGTGTGCTCACGACTGTCAGCCCATAAACATACATCTGCCATGTGCCGGGCTCTGGGACACAACAGTGAGCGAAGCAGCTTCCCGTGGAGCTCACATCCTAATGGGAGACGAAGGCTTCGTGGGCTCTGTAGCAAAGAAATTAACAAGTATTAATGCATACTGGCCCGCTTTCATATGTGTTTGCATGACACGGTAGCCTTCAGAACAGAGTGAAGACCCCAAATTCAAGGATAAACTTGAATGTTTCTGGGCAGCTTTGAGGAGGTACGAGGGGTGGGGAAAGGTGGTGACCTAAGTGCCAAGACCCAAGTATGTAAATCCCGGGTCTCAGGACCTGGAGCCACGCCCGCCTCAGGGACAAGGCACCTTTCCGGGCTCTGCCTCTGCTGTTCCTCACATTCTCAAGGCTGAAAGGACCTTGGGTGCTACGTTTTAGGGTGTTGAGTCCTGAACCTCATCAGATCCAGGATGTCGTGAGTGATGGCATTGAGAGATCCGTGGGACGGACGCCCAGTATGTTGATCAAACTTGGGGCACAGTAGGAGAGGTTACCTTCTGTACCTGCCACTTGAAGTCCATACCTGGGAAGAAGGCTGTTGCCTCTGCCCCCGTCCCAAGTTTCCATGCTAAACTCACATCACAGGAAGAAAATCATTTGTGAGCCACTGTCCCAGGCCACTGCATGTTCTTGAGAAAGGTGGCTTTTCTCCATGAGGTCACAGGGCCCCAGAGGGCCTAGACTCAACTCAGGTCTGGTGATCCAGGATCCAGGGCACCCAAACAGAGCTTTGGGTTATTTTAGATGGATGGGAGGGAGGCTCCAGGACCCGGGTACGCCAAGCTTGCCTCTGCTCCTGTGAATGTAAGCGAAAAGATTTCCTGTCTGCCTTCTAAGCTTGGCTGAGGAGACAGAATTTGATTTGTCGTCTCTTTCAAAGGAAAAGCAGCCTGGAAGGGAATGACATTTGGATGGCCAGTTTGACAGGAGAGGATGAGCAGACGGCTGTGCTAGGGCAGACTTCAAGCCAGTTCAGCTGAAAACAGTCTCTGTGCTCGTTTACATACACAGTTGGTTTTAGAAAACAATTTCTTTGGGTTAGCAAGATGGCTTGTTGGGTAAAGGTGCTTGTCACACAAGCCAGACAGCCTAAGTTCAGTCTCTGGATACTAAAATGGCAGGAAAGAACCCAGGCCCAGAATCTGTCCTCTGTTTTCCACATGACGGCCAAGGCACATGTGTATGTGCACACATGCTAATGGGGCGGGGGAGGGAGGGAGGGAGGGAGGGAGGGGAAGGAAGGAAGGAAGGAAGGAAGGAAGGAAGGAAGGAAGGAAGGAAGGAAGGAAGGAAGGAAGGAAGGAAGGAAATGTCTATTTGCCACAGCACCCAGAATATCCGTGAACTATGAACAGGGCTGGGCTGGAGTACTTGCCTTTGGGGGTGGTACCAGTGTCTTTCCATCAGAAAGCCCTCTGGACCCTCTAAAGAGTGTCATCTGAAAAGACTCACCTTTTTCAACAAGTGAGTATTGAAAAATCGATTATTTTTCCAAACACCCCCCAGGTGACCTCTGACTTTCAGTTGCCGTCTGCCGTGTAAACACACATGGTTTGACGGCAGGAGCTGTGCATTACCTTGAATCATTTTAGAACGATGGAATATTCTGGTTTACTCAGTAGTAAGACTGTGTGATCAGACAGAAGCCTCTGACTCAGGAAGGGAGGGCACAACTGTCCCTTCCCATGCTGTGACATCAAATTATTATTTAAAACAGGTCAAATGACCCCCAAACTTGCTGTCACCTGAAAGATGAGGAATGGGTTGAACTTAGAAACTTAACTAGCCCTGGTGGTCAGGAACCTACCTTTCCACTTCTGACTTCCATGCTGGCAGAGAGCAAGGACTCAGTCTACCCAGCACTAGAATTTGGGGATTCCCCATTCCTAGTCTGCATCTGCAGTGGGGCCACTACCCAGCCCACAGTGTCAGCATGCTTTAAGCCTTTCACAGTCTGCCTCCCTTTCTCCATAGTGATGACTCTGGTGAAAAGTTAGACAATGAAAACATTCTGTCAAAATGAAATGTTCAGAGCACAGGGACATGCCGGCTCTCCCATCCCCATCCTGCAGTCTACCTTTCTACCTTGGTGGAGGGACATTTTTCCAGATCTTTCTGCCTTTTTCATAAGGTTGAATTAGAAAGTGGGGTAGGGCAGGAGAGGTGGCTCAGCAGTTAAGAGCACTGGCTACTCTTGCAGAGGACCTGGGTTAGGTTCCCAGCAGCCACGTGGCAACTAACAACCATCCTTAACTCCAGTTCCAGAGGATCTGATGCCCTTCTGTGGCTTCCTTGGGCATTGCAAACACAGGTGCACTTACATACATGTACATAAGATGCAGATACGCATAAAATAACAATAATAAATCCCCCCATAAAGAGAAAGTGACCGGGTGTCAGAGCAGAATGCCTACAAGTCAGCTGGTGTGTCAGGTTGGGGCTCACTGCAAATCTTTGCCTCGGTTGGTTTCTTTTGGTTCCTGGCTAAGTGGTGAGAGCAACGCGGCCCTGTGTGGTGCTGCCCCTTCCCCTCCCTCGCTTCGGAAGCGCCTCCTGGTGCTGTGAGTCTGGCCTCACCCTCCATCTTTTGTGTTTTGCACAGTGCCTTCTCCCAGTGCCTTGCTAGCAGACAACCCCACGCCTTTTGGAAACGCAAAGGAAGTGATTGCAATCAAAGACTATCGCCCTACCAACTTCACCACCTTGAAGTTCTCCAAGGGTGACCACCTGTACGTCTTGGACACATCGGGCGGGGAGTGGTGGTATGCTCACAATACCACAGAGATGGGCTACATCCCCTCGTCCTATGTGCAGCCCTTAAACTACCGGAACTCTACCCTGAGCGACAGCGGCATGATTGACAATCTTCCCGACAGCCCAGACGAGGTCGCCAAGGAGCTAGATCTGCTCGGGGGCTGGATGGATGACCAGAAAGAATCTGGCAGAAACTACAGTAACAACCCTTTCTGGAATGGGGTCCAGACAAACCCGTTTCTGAACGGGAACGCACTGCCCAGCATGGATGAGCTCAATCCCAAAAGCACTGTGGATTTGCTACTTTTCGACACCGGCACGTCCTCGTTCACTGAATCCAGCTCAGTGACCACCAACAGCACTGGCAACATCTTTGACCAGCTCCCAGCCACCAACGGACTCCACGTGGAGCAGCTGGTGAAGCGGGACAACCCTTTCTTCAGAAGCAAGCGTTCCTATAGCCTGTCAGAACTCTCCGTCCTGCAGGCCAAGTCAGATGCCCCTGCTGCTGCCTCCAGCTTCTTCACAGGATTGAAGTCACCTGCCCCAGAACAGTTTCAGAGCCGGGAAGATTTCCGAACCGCCTGGCTGAACCACCGGAAGCTGGCCAGGTCTTGCCATGACCTCGACCTGCTCGGCCAAAGCCCGGGTTGGGGCCAGACCCAAGCAGTAGAGACAAATATCGTGTGCAAACTGGATAGTTCTGGAGGCTCCGTGCAACTTCCAGACACCAACATCAGCATCCACGTGCCCGAGGGCCACATCGGCCCTGGGGAGACGCAGCAGATATCCTTGAAAGCCCTGCTGGACCCCCCGCTGGAACTCAACACAGACAGGTCCAGCAGCATCAGCCCCATGGTGGAGGTGAAACTAAGCAACCTGGAGGTCAGCACCTTCCTCATCTTGGAAATGAAGGTCTCTGCCGAGGTGAAGAGTGACATTTTCAGTAAAAGCACAGTAGGCCTGCAGTGCCTGAGGAGCGACGCAAAAGAAGGGCCTTATGTGCCCATCCCCCTCGCCTACAGCTCCGGGGACACAGTTCAGGTCCAGCTGGACAGCCTGGAGCCCTGCATGTACCTGACAATCGTTGCCCAAGGCCCCAACATCCTCTACCCTTCCACGGTGTGGGACTTCATCAATAAGCGGGTCACCGTGGGTCTCTATGGTCCCAAACACATTCACCCATCCTTTAAGACAGTGGTGACCATTTTTGGACACGACTGTGCCCCCAAAACCCTCCTGGTCAGCGAAGTGACCCGGCAGGCCCCCAGCCCCGCCCCCGTGGCTCTGCAACTGTGGGGCAAACACCAGTTCATCTTGTCTAGGCCCCAGGATCTCAAAGTCTGCATGTTCTCCAACATGACCAACTATGAGGTCAAGGCCAGTGAGCAAGCGAAAGTGGTACGAGGCTTCCAGATGAAGCTGGGCAAAGTGAGCCGCCTCATCTTCCCCATCACCTCTCAGAACCCCAATGAACTGTCGGACTTCACCCTGAGGGTGCAGGTCAAGGACGACCAGGATGCCATCCTCACCCAGTTCTGTGTCCAGACGCCACAGCCACCCCCCAAAAGCGCCGTCAAACCATCTGGACAGAGGCGGTTCCTTAAGAAGAACGAAGTTGGGAAGATCATCCTGTCCCCGTTTGTGGTCACCACGAAGTACCCCACGTTTCAGGACCGCCCCGTGTCTAGTCTCAGGTTCGGCAAGCTGCTCAAGACGGTGGTGCGGCAGAATAAGAGCCACTACCTCCTGGAATACAAGAAAGGCGACGTGGTAGCCCTGCTGAGTGAGGAGCGCATCCGCCTGAAGGGGCAGCTGTGGACCAAGGAGTGGTACATCGGCTACTACCAGGGCAAGGTGGGCCTGGTGCATGCCAAGAACGTGCTGGTGGTCGGCAAGGCCCGGCCCAGCCTGTTCTCGGGGCCCGAGCTGAGCACTTCGGTGCTGCTGGAGCAGATCCTCCGGCCCTGTAAGTTCCTCACCTACATCTACGCCTCCGTGAGGACCTTGCTCATGGAGAACATCAGCAGCTGGCGGGCCTTCGCCGACGCACTGGGCTACGGGAACCTGCCACTTACCTTCTTCTGCAGGGCAGAGCTGGACAGTGAGCCTGAGCGGGTGGCGTCTGTCCTGGAAAAACTGAAGGAAGACTGTAACAACCCCGAGAACAAAGACAGGAAGTCTTTCCAGAAGGAGCTGGTGATGGTGAGTGGTTGGCAGGTTCTGCACCTCAGGGTGGGCTCCTCCTGGCCCCTCAGCCTTTTCCTGAGACACATGGGCGAGGTTCACATTGGGCTGAGTCACTGCGACAGGCCTGTGGCTGGAGTTGGCTGCCTGGTTCACAGGGACAGGGTTGGACTTTTAGCCGGGGAGGATCCTTAGGGACCCCAAGGAAGGACACCTCCACTACACTTATGTGCTAGAAGTAGACCATGCCTGTGCAGCCTCGGGGTGCACCCTCCCCCCATACACACACACTGGAAAGAAGACAGCAGCCCTTATTCCCAGCAGCCTCCAGGTCTCTTGAGGTATCTGAGTGCCATTGGATTCCCAGCAACCCGAGACTCAAAAGAAGTGAGGGCCTTTGCCCCAAAGCCCTTGTTTTGATGTGAGTTCTCATCTTGTCCTACCTGGCACCTCCATCACCTGCCTCTACTGTGGTCCCACCTCCTGCCTGGGGTTCATACATGTTGGTGGGAGACAGGCTGATACAGTGTGAACTGGTCTTCTAAGAAACACACAGAAAAGAGGTGCCCCATTCAGAGACACGCTGACCTCAGGCCAGGTCCTCCAATAGCCTGGACCCTCTGCCCAGAACAGTATCCCACAGGCCACCCAGTCCTGCGTGCAGTTGTGATGGTCACACTTGTGTTCCTTGTACCTGGGGTAGACATGTCCCTCCACCTCTCGTGAAGGGAACAGATTCAGCCTCCATCTTCCTGGTGGGGACCTGGCCTGCTTCCCGTAGAGGCCTTTGGTGACCTCTTTGATCCTCACTGCTTCTACTGCCCAAAGGCTTTGTGCTGCTCCCCAACCTCTCCCTCCCCCCACTGGCTCTGTGCAGGACATCATTAGAGGCAGATAAGTAGGTGTCTCCTGAGCTAATGCAGGTGAGCCCCTGAGGCTTACACATCGCACATGCTGTCCAGGAAACAGAAGGGCCTGTCCAGTGCAGCACAGCTTGTTCGTAGAGAACATGCTATGCAGCTTGGGGAAGAGCAGGGTGGGAGGCCCTTTGACTGTGGCCCATGGTAACATGACATGCCACAGTATGGGGCAAACAGACCTGAGATTACCCAGGGAAAGAGGCGAAGTGCGAGTGGCAGTTACGAGGTCCTTTGGCAATCAGAAAGTCCCTGGGGCACTTGATGTTCATGGTTTCATCAGAAAAGAAGCCAGAAGCAAATGGGGTGGGCTGTGGGCCCTGCGTGGAGGTCGCCCACATGTGAAACAAATTTCCAGAAGGTTCTGGAGACCCTCTTGGCTTGGCCTCCCTGGCTGGCTGACACTCCCTGGGCCAGGAACACGTGCTCCCTGGGAGCCCTCTGCTGGCATGCTCCATCGATTTCAGAATTAGTTGCTTTCATGGGACATAAAACAGTATTGATCCTGCCTGCTGAAGGGCACTCACCTGGAGTAGGGCCCAGTCCTCCCTCTGCCTGTAAACACGACCTTCTAATCGCTTTTAGGGGTCAAATTCTTACTCAACATGGCAACTTTGGGGAGGATTTTTCTGTGTTTTGGGCTGCTGTGTGGGAGGGATGGGGAGGGTTCTGTGTGCCTGGAAGTCCCCAAGTCCTCCAGCCCTGAGGAGGAAGTGCAGCTTGGCTTGGCTAGAACTCACCCTGGGGCAAGGGCAGTTTTGTAATAAAGGGAAACAGGTTTTGCCACATTCGCCTCCCGAATTTTAATGGTTGGCCAAACTTCCAGAAACACACTGGCTGACCTCAGCCCGAGAACCTGCTTGTACGGGTTCCTAGAGTCCTACAGCTTTGTTCCACAGCCAGACCTCTGCCCCTTCCACCTCCTTTGCCTTAAGAGTTCCCAAAGGCCTCTCATCTCAACGCTGGGCAGCCCGCACTTCTGTGGTCTCTTCTGTGTCCCCTGCACACACCAGCTCGCCCCTGCCCTGGGCCCATAGCTGCCTCTCTTTTATCAGGAACTGCTGCTGATGCATCTGCTCAGGCGCCAGCTCCTGCGTCACCCCAGGTCACCCCAGCCCTTGATGGGGTGAGCCCATGTCCTGTGTGGTGGTCTGCAGGGTGCTTCAGTTGGAATTAGCTGTACTTGTTTACTTGTGCGCCTGTCTTGTTATGTCCTGGCATTAGACACGCACTCAATAGAGGAAGGAGACCATTGGGTAGTCACTGAGCAAGAAAGAATAAGTGGATGAGGGAGTGATAGCCCAGGCTATCCCTGGGTCATTCTGTCCTTGTGTGGGTCACACTGTTTCCTTTCTCTGCTGTCACTAGGAACCTCTGCTAACCCTCTTCACAGTAGGCATCCCTCCTCCCCAGCTCCCCAGCAGGGTCTGTGATGGCAGAGGATGGGCCCCAACACTCATGTCAGCAGAGAGATGGCAGGGCTTGGCAGTGAATGGCTCAGCATGGCTGGCATTGGCCTAGAAGGTATCTCCAAAGTGGACAGAGTCCTAAGCCTTAGAGCCCTGGCCTCGCAGGCTGGGAGGGTGCCTGCTGGGATCTCTGCTGAGGACTCGGGTGTGTGAGATGCTAGAGACTGCCTTGTGTTTAGCAAGTTGTGATGTCACATTCTGTTAAAGCAGAACAGCTGGGGGAGGATCTCTACCACAGCACTGAGCCAGGAACAGAGCTAGGAGAACGAGCACGGTCAAGACTAGGAGTGGGTGCTGGACTCTGTACCCACACATCTCTCCTCCCTGCTGGGTGCTGGACTGTTAGAGAACTTGGCCTGTCCTCTGCGTTCCATCCCCGGCACTGCCAAACAAACAAAGCAAAACATCTTTATGGTGAACAACTGTGTGAGCCAGAGGTGAACTCACAGAGGCCTGGGCGGTGTCTGAAGAATGAGCCCACCTGTGGAGAACACCTCTCGGGTTGGGATGCACAGCGTGGGTGGGAACCCAGGGTGCCCAAGAGCATTGACTGGGCTGAAGACGTGTCTGACAGGAAGACTGCCCTGTGTGGAGACTTGTCTCAAGGAACAGGAGGCAGAGGCAGGCGGATCTCTGAGTTCAAGGCCAGCCTGGGCTACATAGTGAGTCCCAGGCCAGCTGGGGCTACAGGGAGACCCTGTCTCAAAAAGACCAAAAAAAAAAAAGGCAGGTGGAGCCTCTTGGATAGACAAAATGGGTGCTGGTGGATGGGGGCACAGTCAGAGGGGAAGTGATAGGGACATGCATCCTGTGGTGAGATTTGTGACTGGACCAAACAGCTGTGTCCCTGTCCCCTCCATCCTGACAAGCTTGTGTGGCAATTCCCTTGGCACTTACCCTCCCTGTGACTTCACACCCTCCATCAGTGGTAAGAGAAGCAACTCTGCCCCCCGCCCCCCTTCCTTGTGGGTCAGGTGGAGGTGGAGGGCTCTGCGTTTTCATGCTTTGATCGCCCCACCAAACCTTGTTTTGGGGGTGTCTCCACGTGGGCTTTCACAGTTGCGTGACCCCATCTCGGATTTTGTTGAGTTCGTCTTTGTGAAAGCAGGCGCTTGATTTTGTGCTGAAACTTGACAAGACGCCCAAGAGCACAGTGAGACCTCCTGGCCTGCCCCATCTCCCATAGGAAACCACCTCTGCTGACAGTCTGCAGAGTGTGCACTGTGAATGTCACCGAGTCCTGTCAGATTTTGCCCTGTGTGTTCCACAGTTGGCTTTCCCAGGTAGCTTTGCGGGGGTCGTGGCATCTGCTGTGTGTTACAAGACACGGATGGAATTGTGCCAGCCGAGGGACCCTGAGCACTTGCTTACTCATCTTTCTAGACCCTCTAATAAGCCTGTCTGCCCTTGCGTCTCTAAGCCACAGGCCCACTCCAAAGAGGGAAAAGTCACCATTGATAGCCAGTGTCACTATGGGGTGAGCTGGCCCTAGAGTGCCAGGGAAAACTTGGAAAGTTCTGAGAGCCTCGAACCCGTCCCTGAAGTCTCTGGCCGAGTCCCTGTGAATGGATGTGCACACCCCACTTGTATCTGTAATCTGAGGTCTGACATTAGGGGTTTGGGGTTGTTTCCTGATGGTGAGAAACTGCAGGATATGTTGTTTTTAAGGCACTGGAATCCTCTGTTGTACAGCATGAGCCTTGGGAAGGGTTTTCTGAGTGTGTTTGAAAGCCCAAGTGGAAACGTGTTTGTGTGTATTTTTTCTGCGAATTATGGAAACACTGATTCAGAAAGAGGATCTGGCTCAAGGCCTATGTGCACTTTCTAGAGCTGAGTTACTGTCATCTCAGGAATGTGAGTCTGGAGCGGCCTGGGGGGAAGGGGGAGATGGCAGGACCCAGGGAACCAACTCCTTAAGAAACGGGTGTTTTTTATTAAGAAAAAAATTTTTAAATACTTTATTGTTTTTATTTTGTGTGTATGAGTGTTATTGCCTGCATGTATGTGAGTGCACCCATGTCTTGCAATGACACAGAGGTCAGAAGAAGGCATCGGATTCCCCTGGAACTGGAGTTAAGGATGGTTCGTAGCCACCATGTGGGTGCTGGGAATCGAACCAGGGTCCTCTGCAAGAGCAGTTAGTGCTCTTAACCACTGAGCCGCCTCTCCAGCCCCAAGAAAAAAACTTTAAGGTACTGTGTTTTCTTTAAGATTCATCATCATCATCATTATTTGTGTGTGTATGTTGGGGGGCGGGTACCACAGAGGCCAGAAGAGGGCATTGGATCCCTTGGAACTGGAATGTAGGTGTTTGTGAGCTGCCCAGTGTGGAGGCTAGGATCTGAATTCTGGTGCAGCAAAGTGCTCTTAACTACTGAGCCATCTCACCAGCCCCAGGCAATATGCTTTTGATGCTAGTATCGATTTCCCATTGGGGGCACAGCCAGCCATGAATGGGGCATGCACAGGGTGTGCAGTCTCTGTCTTCATGGAGAGGAGGGGGAAGACATGGACTGGAAACAAACCATAGTGGCCTTCCTAAGACCCAGGGAGGATTGTGGCACAGCCCAGCTGACACCCCGATCCTGGAACTGCCACCAAGAACAGCCTCTGAGCGTATCCTCCAAGGGTCCATTGGGTCACAGCATCGGAGTTATAGAAAGGGTTTCAGGGGGCCCTTGGAGGAGTTCCTGTAAGAAAGAAGGGCCGTGATTTTGTAGGGTGCAACCCAGGCAGGTGAGTGTCTCCAGAAGGGGAGCAGAACAAGACGCCCAAGACTCCTAGGTGTGTGGCTGCGAGGATGGGAAAATACCGGCTGGAAGAGTGCCATGGGGTTGCTGAGTGGACGGGAGAAAACCCACCTTACTCCACAAACTGGGAGACACCAGAACCACAGCTGAGGGCGGGGCAGTTAACTGGGTTGTGTTGTGTAGGAGGACCCTCCCTTCACATGAAGCATCTCTGAGAACAAACACAACAAAAGGCGGAATAGGACCTCACCCTATAACAGGGGGACAACCACGGCCTGTGACTGCCTACTGTAAATGACAGCTTACGTACGTGTATGTGGCCTGGTCTATAAAAGCGCTGTACTGGGGTGAGGCGGGGGGCGGGGATTCCAGGCAAGAAAAGTTTACCATGTCATTAACAGACTAGATGTCCCTTCTGTCTCTTTAGCATGACTCAACTGTCTCTTTAGCATGACTCAAGGTGGACCCACTTTCCTAGGGGTGACCCTGTGACCAGGTGTTTGACCTGTCAGAACTGGAAAGTTAAGGCTCCATCCAGCCAGAGATTTTTATCTGTGACAGTGTGAGCAGCTATGTAACAGGCCAGTACAGTACTGGATTCCTCAAGAGTGATGTGAGAGGAGCTAAGGGGATCATCAGGGAGGCTGCGTCCCCTGACTGTCTGCCTTATCCAGAACTAACACTCCTGTTTGCTTTCCTGGCCTCAGAAGCCCCAGCCCCTTTATTCCTCGGCCACTCTTGAAATGGAGCCTCAGCTGCCCTGGACCAGACCATGTGCTCTCTTGGACTCCAAGGGCCAGAGAGAGGCCTGCATTTCCCAGGACTTTTGTATTCTGTGCCCAGAGTCCTTGGAGAGAGAATGGTTTTGTTACTCCTGCCAAAAGTGGCTTGAATCAGAAGCAGGTGACTCTGACGCAGTTTGTTACCTAGAAAACAGGGCTGCCTCCAGAGCCAGGCAGCTGGGCGCTCAGACGCTCAGGTTTGCGTGATGCGACTGAATCACTTGATGTCAGACCCTGTGGTCACTCAAATTCCCTCCCAGAACCTTACATACAGCAGAGGGGGACCCACCCCCACCTCCCGTCTCACAGCACACCAAAAGTTAAAACTTGCCAGGCGTGGTGATGCACACCTTTAATCCCAGCACTCAGGAAGCAGGGGAAGGCAGGTTCCTATGAGTTTCAGGCCAGCCAGGGCTACGTAATGAGATCCTGTCCCAAAAAATCAGAAACAAAAAAAGAAAGAAAACCCTCATGCCCGCTCTGCATGCATGGATGCCAGTCCTCATGTTCCGAGGCACAAGTCTAGTGCAGCGTTTAGTTCTCTCCTTCTTTAATGCTTTATTTTTATTTTGTGCATGTGAGTGTACTGCCTGCATGTGTGTATGTGCACCTTTGTCATACAGTGCTGGCAGAGTCAGAAGAGAGCACTAACTCCCTGGAACTAGAGTTACGGATGGTTGTTAGCTGCCATGTGGGTGCTGGGAATCAAACCTGTGTCCTCTTAACCACTGAGCCATCTCTCCAGCCCCACAACATTTAGTTTTCTTGAAAATTTTCTTTCAAATGTACCAAAATTCAAATTCCTGTGGTCTTCCTTGGAACAAGACCATCTCCAGCCCACATATGTTGTAAGCTGTCTCTTTCCTCATATGAGCTGTTGGTGCTAGGCAGGGGACTTATTCCACAGACCTCAGAACTCTTGGGTAAAGAGCATTGTGTTCTAGTTGACCTTTCCCCACAAGCCAAGCCTGCCCTGCCTTACTCTGTGCTCCTTCCTCCCAGGCCTTGCTGAAAATGGACTGTCAGGGCCTGGTGGTCAGACTCATCCAGGACTTTGTACTCCTGACCACAGCCGTCGAAGTGGCGCAGCGCTGGAGGGAACTGGCTGAGAAGCTGGCCAAGGTCTCCAAGCAACAGATGGACGCATATGAATCTCCCCACCGCGACAGGAATGGGGTGGTAGACAGCGAGGTAAGTGGGGTACCAGCTCCTTGGTTACTTAACTGCTTTGCCCCTCAGGACCCATCTGATACAGTAACAGAAGGTTCAGGTAATAGCATCCTGCGAGGGTTAGATGAGCCCAAATATGTGTGTCCAACATGAGGTAGAGTTACCTGGTGAGATGGGAGCTGTCATTGTTCTCAGGATCCTTCCCTGAGAACCTTGTGTGGAAGTTACTAGGGTCCCCCGGCTACAAGATGGGAAGGGTAGATTGCCCTCCCTTGCTAACATTACTTTTAAACCACTGTCAATAAGAAGGTGTATAAACAGAGCCCTGGGTGGTCTGTAATGTGCTGGCCTTGGGCTGTGCTGACTGCCTTCCTGGTGTGTTACTGACTTCATAGGTCTGGGAGTCAGGCTCACACTGCCTGCTCTGTGGAGGTGACCCTGGTCTGCTTCCTGAAAGCTGGTTCACAAGACCAGGAAGCAGGGAGTTCCAGGAATAAGGACGTCCTTTCTTACTCCTGGTGAATTTCTAATAAATGGCTCAGGTAAAGGTGGGATCTGTGAGGGAGGACAGATCCTGACTGTCCTCCACATGCTAAGCACAAGCTTTCACAGACACCGCCCTTCCCCCAGCACAGGCAATCTGCTGCTGTGAGCACCTGTCGCTCCTAAGGGGCGTCACAGGCATGACTGAGATGGCCACTGTCACCTCACCTTCCTTCCCTTCTCCCTTTCTGTTTGCGGCACCTCCACCACCCAGGCCATGTGGAAACCTGCCTATGACTTCTTACTTACCTGGAGCCACCAGATCGGGGACAGCTACCGGGATGTCATCCAGGAGCTGCACATCGGCCTGGACAAGATGAAGAACCCCATCACCAGGCGCTGGAAGCATCTCACGGGCACCCTGATCCTGGTGAACTCGCTGGACACCCTGAGAGCAGCCGCCTTCAGCCCTGGGGACCATGGCGACCTTGTGATCTGAGTGGGTCGGCTGGCCCAGCCACACCACACAGCTGGAGCCCTCTGACCATCCATCTACCCATGCCATCAGCAGGTGGAGCAGGGGACAGGCAGAGGTGGACCTGCCAGTCATGCCCGTGATGACAGGCAAATGGCTCTCCGCCCTGCCTCCATCCGGGGCAGACCTCAGAGGCTTACTACCGCAGGTTGTTGCCAATCCAGTTGCTCTCGATTTATTGAAATGTACATTTAAATTTAAAAATTGTTTTTTTTATTTTAACAAAAGACCAGAAAGAGGACATGGGAGAGGTAGTGTCTAATTTTTTAATGGACTATAAAAGGTTATTTAAAAAGAAAATCACCGTAGTAGGGGTAAATGCTGTTGAGGTTTTTATGTTGTTTAAAGACCTTTTTAAATTATATTCCAGATGTATATAGTTATTTAAAGGCCATGGGTGGTTCTGAGTCCCAGACATACTTTGGATTTTGACACTCAGCACCGAAAGGCGCTTGCTTGGATGGGACTCTTTTCACTCAACTGCCTGTGGGACCGTGTGTCCTGTGGGCAGAATGGTTGGGGCAGTCACACCCACCATCCCAAGGCTGCCCCAGGCCCTGCTCTGCCACTCCCTCTACCTGGCTGCTGTCAGCAGCCATCCACGGGACTTGTGGCTTGTGGCTTGGCAGGCAGGGAAGCCCCACCTGCTGGATTAAGTGCCATTGAGACTCAAACAGCAGTTGGAGTTGGGGTTCCCCTGTCACCCCTGCCTGTGTACAGTTGTCACTCAGAACGGTGCCCCTCGAGAGTCAGGTGGGCCCTGCCAAGCTCTGCCTCCTGAAGGCACGAAGGAAGCCTAGGCGCCCAGCCAGAGTCTTCCTATGGCCACCACAGCCTGGGTGACCTTCCAAGTGATGTCATGAGCTGGGATGCAGCTGTGGTCGCCAAACTCCCCACTTCATCTAATATTTAATGCTTCTCCTTCCTGGTGCTCCCACAGCTCCTTAGAAATAAGCAGTACACAGGGATCAGGTTATTGTACAGTATGAATATCAGCATGGGGAACATTGACCCTAAATGATGTTCCCACATCAATTCGGGAGATTTACAGAGGGTTTGTGTTGAAGACCTTCAAGGGTTGTGGATCAGTGCTCTGTTGACTTCCACAACTCATGCAGCTGTGGCATTTGGGGAGGAATCGGTAGGCAGAACAGATACCCAGAAGATCGGCTGTGAGGTAGCCCTGGCAATGGGTGGGGCCTGGGCTGTCTCAAGGGGTGGTTTTAGATCCGAGTTTCAGGCTCTGTCCACTTTCCTGATACACATTCATGACTTAGTTTTAACCAGTGTACAATCCCTTGTTGGGCTGACACGTCATATAGCTACTGATTCAGACATTGAAGATCAACAGACTTACAGACACTAGATATTTATGCTGCCAGCGAGAACCAAGTCACACAGAACCCCAGTCGTCACAGAAATGACCTTCACTCTGTGTCTCCACTCTGCACCTTTGTTTTGCCCAGAGATCATCTCTCGCCTTTTTTCCCCAAAGAAACAAAACCAGTTGCACCTTAAACCATGAATATTTTTCCTCAGGGGCTTTGAATAGTTTCCTATGCAACATGTCTTGTAGCACAAATTAAATTCTACAAAAGTTGCAGTAAATTTTATTTGGATATTTTAACCTGCTGTGTGTGTGTGTGTGTGTGTGTGTGTGTGTGTGTGTGTGTGTGTGTGTCTGTGCCCAACCAGACTTTAAAGAACACAAAAATAAAGCCCAGTATAAAGATTGGTGCACAGGCTCCTGGCAGTCGTCCTGAATGACAGTCTGGCCTTGGTTTAGGGAGCATCTGCTCTTCTGCTGTGTGTCTAACGGCTCCTGATTTGGGTGGATTGGGCATCACTAACCTAGTGGGGGTCAGTGTCACTTGGGACACTTGAAGGAAGCAAGTTAGTATCTCACCTTGTTCCTGGTGTCCATCAGCCCCAGCATGGAGTTCGAGACCCAGCGATGTCTGTGTGTGCGACTGTACCTCACCAACTGATCGCAGCAACCATTGGCCACCTGCACTGGAGGTACTGTTGTCAGGGAGAAGAGAGGGCCATGAAGTACAGGAGTTGCTCCTGGGGACTAACACCACCTGCAGGTGATGGTGGGGAATGGGCCTTGTGCGCTTCAGACTGAAGAGGAGCCAGCTACACCACAGACGGGCCAGCCCGGGGAACGGTGGTTGTCTCACTGACACGTGAGCATCTGCACAGGAGGAGTGTGGGCAGGACACGCAGGATGAGAGGCTAAGGCTTTGCACAGCTTGGGCTTGTCAAATGAACCACTGGGAGCTCGGCTGTCCACCTTCTGCTCCTATATTAATTCTGCCTGCTTTGCCCTTGATCTGTGACATCTTCCACAGGCCCTGGTGTTAAAGGCTTGGTCCCCAGCAGGGCACTGTTGGGAGGTGGAACCTTTAAAGAGGTGGGGCCTGGTGGGAGGCAGCCAGGTTATTGGGAGCACACCCTTCAGGTGAGTTAGGGAACAGACTCTTCTGAGTATTTGTTCTACCAGACCTACTTGCTAAGTGCTCACACTCACTTTGCGGTTGACACAGTTCCATGTGGTCCCATGACCCACCCACTAACAGGAAAATAAGGAATTTTTCCTTTAGCGCTGGGAACCCGCCAGGGCCTCAGACATGCTGGGCAAGCACTGTGCCACCGAACCATACCCCCACCCCAAAGGCAGAGACTGCCCCAGAGCGAGTCTAGTAAGTGCTGTGAACTTGAGACTTGTATCCTTGTACAGTTGTGAGGGTCAGAAGTCCAAAATAAAGGTGTCAGATGACCTGTCTAACTAGTTCTTTTAAGGACACCAGTTGTTGGGTTTACCCCCGTCCCTCCCCATAATCCAGTGCAGTTTCAACTGTAAAGAGCCTATTCCAGTTAAGCCACATCTTCAGGTAGCAGGGCTAAGCACTTTGATGTGCCTTCCAGAGAGCATGCAACTCACCATCACTACAATGCTTGGTTAGACCCTGCAGTTGTCTATTGCTTTTGACCTGGTTATTGATATTGACAAGTAACAGGGGCAGGGAATTTATAGCTCCTTTAGGACCAAATATTTAGGAGAAAGGTATAGTTGAAAAAAATTAGGCTGATTCCCAAGGAAAAGAAGAGATTTTCCCCGTGATAAAGCCTCACTTTAACCTCCACCTGACTGCCTTTCTGTCACCTCCAGTGGGGCTCCTTTAGGACCAAATATTTAGGAGAAAGGTATAGTTGAAAAAAATTAGCCTGATTCCCAAGGAAAAGAAGAGATTTTCCCCGTGATAAAGTCTCACTTTAACCTCCACCTGACTGCCTTTCTGTCACCTCCAGTGGAACATGAACTGAGACATTTATCTCATAATTTTATGTTTCCCACCCATTCCAAGTATTCTGTCACTTGCAGCGGCACACAAACTCAAACCTGGTCATGAGACCATGCCTGACCAGCCACCACATTATAGCAACTCAGCAGTGTGACTAGACCCTTGCTTTCATCCCCTCCTTCCCAAGATGCTCCAAATCTCACTTCCTATACACTTCCCATCTCCATCCTCCCCCATCTGTGGGACACAGGAGTCTTTTCTGAGTGACTCAAACCTAGGCCCTCACACAGGCTATGCAAGCATTCTACTACTTGACTTGAAAGCACAGGAGTCTTTTCTGAGTGACTCAAACCTAGGCCCTCACACAGGCTATGCAGGCATTCTACTAGACTTGAAAGTCATCTTGCTCAGGCTGTCCTTGAACTCCTGCTGTAGCCAAGGCGGCCCTTGAATGTGTAATTCTCCTACCCTCTTGCCTACCTAGTAGCTGGGATTGCAGACCCCTACCACCAGGCCTGGCTTGAGTCCTTGTTGCCCAGGCCATTCCCCTCTCCTCCACCTGAAAGGGTAATCCACTGAGCTCTCAACAGCAGCCTGAGCTCATCTCAGAACCCCAAGATCCTGGGATGTTTCTTGCATGAGGGAGTTGTCCCTATCTGTGATAGAAATGCATTTTAAACTGAGATGGCTTTGGCTGTTGGAGTGGATAATACGGACTGCATGCTGTGTTTGCCACCAACATAAAATAAAATGTGTCTAATGAATGCATCAAACCCCAGCTCAGACTGGAAGAGGTCAAAGAGGAATTTACAGGAATGGAGCTCAATGAGGTGTGTACCAAGAACAATTGCACTGACTAATGATTCATTTTGTAGCACAGGGGAAACATTTTCAAGTTGAATAAATGATGCTGTCACAAAATTCAGCATTTTGTTAAAATCGCTTGAAAGGAATTCACTTAGCTCTTTGTGCTGCTATAGACCCCTCTGCAATTTGATGAAGGCAAGAGACACCTCGGAATTGTATAAATGCATAAAATAAAACCTAGGGGAACAAAGGAAAGCCGCCTTCTTTACATACAGATAGCAAATACAACATCTCATGGGAGTTCTCACCTGCAATAAACATACACAGTGATTGGAGGGTTTATCCCACCACACACGGATGGAGCACTTGTCAACACCAGACACACACACAGTGGTGGAGGTCTTATCCCACCAGGCACTAAACCTCATCAATACCAGACACAGCAATGGAGTTCTCATCCCACCAGACACTCAACACAGCGATGGAGGTCTCATCCCACCAGACACACAGTGATGAAGGTCTCACCCCACCAGGGTTTACACAGTGATGAAGTCAGCCCACCTGACACTCACACCGTGATAAGCACTTAAACATCTACAAAAATGTTCAAGGACACAAATGTCTGAGAATTCTCTTCAGTGTTTATAACATCAGTTCCTTGCCTACATAGATTCTTGAAGGAAGTGTTAACACTCAGAAGTTAATGAAAATAAAAATGCAATTTTCCCCCTCATAAAAAAAAGCGAGCCCTCACCCTAAGGAAGCCAGTCTCCCACGCTGGCTGTCAACATTTTAAAATCACTTATATTAGTATTTTTTTGCTCCAGGATAGGAAGGGTGGTGTTTTAAATTTTTTGATCCTCTAATTTAATATTCTGCCTAATGGGAAAGAGGGAGAGACCTGAAGAATTACTTGGATATGAGATGACTTTTTAAGTATCTAAAGTCATTTTTCTTAATTTTCCATTTTAATTGGTTTCCCTCAAAATGGCTGTACGCTTATTCCTATATATGCATGTAGACAGATACAGACACTGATATATTTCTCAGTTCAGAGGACAGCCAAAGGTGTCCCAGACAGTACAGCAAACACCCCAGTGAACTGTGGGCAGATGGAACCTATACATGTGCCTGTCACTAGCACAGTGGTCCACCGGCATCCCAGGAAGGAAGAGTCAGTTCCTGAGCCACAGTGTGGCCTGTTGAGTAGGTCTTGCATAGGAGCAGACAGCTGATGTCAAGTAGGTTGGCATGCTGTCAGCAAGGTGAGCAGAGAAGGGAGAACAAAAAGGGAGGAGCCAGTGAAGGGATAACTCCAGAGCACTGCTGCAGGGCTGGGAGGTATGATTCAGGAACAGACACAGGCAGAAGGGGAGAGGCGCCCAGGGAGGGTGGGAGGTGGGGGAAGGGCTCGGAGGAGGCACAGAGGCACAGAGTCGTCCTTGAGGCTCTGAGAGGCAGAGGCGTTTAGTGGCAGGCACTGATTAACTTTTTCCATTTGCCAGGTACCGTTCTAGACCCAAGGAGCCCAAGGGCTGGTAGGGAACCAGCAGTCCACCAGATCAGTATTCAAGGTCAGCGCAGGTAGAGGTTAGCAAGAAGTGATGTTGGAAAATAGTGAGTGCAGTTGGCTCTGCATATCTGTGGGTTCCAGATCCATAATACATATTCACATATATGAGAGAAGAGAGAGAGAGAGAGAGAGAGAGAATGAGAGAATGACTTAGCTGGTAAGGGTGCTTGCTGCCAAGCCTGATGACTTGAGTTTGATTTCTGGGACCCACATGGTGAAAGAATTGTCTCTTGCAAGCTCCACACATAAGGCCATGGCCATGTACACACAAACACCAAGCCTGATGACTTGAGTTTGATTTCTGGGACCCACATGGTGAAAGAATTGGCTCTTGCAAGCTCCACACATAAGGCCATGGCCATGTACACACAAACACATGTACACATACGTGGCCATGTATATACACACGCACATACGTATGAGCACATCCACACGTGACAAAATTAATGTAATTTTAAATATTTTATTGTTTTTATTTTATGTGTATGAGTGTGTTACCTGCATATATGTAACTGCACCTGTGCCATGCAATGCCCAAGGAGGTCAGAAGAGGGCAGGCAATGGATTCCCTGGAACTGGAGTTACAGATGGTTGTGTGTGGGTGCTGGAAATCAAACCCAGGTCCTCTGCAAGAACAGCTGGTGCACTTAGCAGCCATGCCATCTCTCCAGCCCCTACTTAATTAAAAAAAAAATTTAAAATAGAGAACGTGTAATGTTTTGATAAATGTCTCTATTGAGCTACGGCTGAATCTGGTTAAGGATCTGTGTCCTCAAACATTTTCTTCTTTTTCCCCTCCTTTTGAGACAGTCTCATGTACCCCAAGCTGGCCCCAAACTCACTGTGTAGTGAGGGGATGACCTGGGAACACCTGATCCTCTTGCCTCCACCTCCCAAATCCTAGGATTGCAAGTGTGTACCACCCATCAAGGCCTGACTGTGGGAATTAATACACGATCTTTCCTTGAAGATGCAGCAGACGCAATAAGTGCAGTTCATGGCTTTGGTAACTTACTTTTGAGCACTGAAGTTAGTCATAAGTTAGATGTAATCTAAAAAGTAATGTATATATGCAACCCACCAGATTATGTGCAATATGAAAGTATATAAT